CCCCGCCGCCCCCACTCACCGCGCCGGGTCCCGAGCCCAGCAGCTCCAGCCGGAAACGCCCGGGCCGCTCGGGGTCCGCGCTCAGCTGCAGCCTGCGCAGCTGTGCCTCGGCGTCCGGCCCCGCGCCCAGCGGCCTCACCGCGGCGTGCACAGCCAGGAGCACCGCGGCCGAGTCCGGGTCCGAGGCCGCCGCCGCGCCACCCGCAGGCGGCGCCATCTCCTGTCCGGCCACGGCCCCGACCCCCAAGCCCGCTTCCGTGGGCTCGGGCCCCTGAGCGCCTCCGCCGACCGGAAACTGGGGCCGCGAGCCTGGGGTTCCGGCCGTGGCCAGAGCGTCAGGGCCCGGCTCTGACCCTCCTGTCTTACCCAGGATGGACACGACCTAGAGGCTCGGCGGTCGGGGGCTGCAGCCGAACGGTCCGCGTCTACCCCCCGCGCCGGTCCGGGGCTAGACGCTATTCCCAGACTCCTTCCGAGACGCAGGTTGCCCGGCGGGCGGGCCCCGCGTTGGTCCGCCAGCCACTCCTGGGAAGGCGGGCTGACACCAGGGGCGGGATGAGCGAGGAGGCGCAGCCAATGAGCGCCAGGAAGGGAGGCGGGATCGCACGGCCTCGAAGAGTGACGGACAGGCAGGGCAGCCAGTAGACGTGGACGGTAGGAGTGAACGGCGGGAGACGCCCCCAATGGCTAGCCGAGCTCTCGATCCCGGCGGCTGGACCAGGCCATTCAGGGGCGGGGGGCCGGGCCTTGCGGACGCTTGTTGTTGTCCGGCCCGGGGAGGCAGAGGTCGCTCGCTCGGTCCTTTGCTCTCTCGGGCCTTCTGTGGCGGTCGGCGGGCAGGTCGGTCGCGATAGTCGGTCGCCTTCCAGGGGCGAGGCTATGTCGCGGTGGCAGCCCGGCAGGGCCGGCAGGGCCGGGAGTAACGGGACGTCGTCGCGGAGCTTCTTCCCCCGGATACAGTGCGGCCCGAACGGAGGCCGCGGCGCCGCCCTCCGGTCCTGAGGAGCCCGAGCTGCCCGGAGCCCACACCGCCTCCTTACCCGCGCCGAAGTCAACCGGCCAGACCCGGCCCGGCCACACTGAGCGCTGCGCAAGCAGGTAGGTGCCCGCTCTGTGACCGGCGCCGTGTCGGGGCCTTCAGAACTCCAGCCCCCAGCGGTCTTCGCGCCGGCGAGCGTGCGCGCGTGCGCGAGTCCCGGGGCGCACTGCCTCCTGGGATTTGTAGTTGTCCGCGACTAGGCTGGGGTTT